TCACTCTTTGACATCATTGGAACACCGTAGAAAGGTCGGCGACCTTTCACTTCTCTATCGATACTTCCACGGGAAATGTTCTTCGGAAATCTCTGCTATCATCCCTTCACTAGCAATACCTATCAGACGAACTAGACAAGCCCAGTCAGCACATCCTTTCGTTGTCAACCTCGAAAGATGTCGAACATCACTTTATCAAGACTCCTTCATCCAAAGAACAGCTAGGCTCTGGAATTCATTGCCTGTGGAAGTATTCCCAACAACATATAATCTCCAAAAGTTCAAAAAAATTTCCAATACCTACCTCCTGTCCCTATCCTCTCTAGGAACGCACGATGTCCTTTGAACATTATGGGGATTCCCTTTCGTGCGCTCCAAGCAATAAAAAAAAAATTCCGGCGTTCCACAAGGATCGCACTTTCGGCTCCAACATATTGTTCCTACTTCATATCGATGATCTGTTGGGAGCTACCACTTGCCGTATCCACAGCTTTGCAGACGATAGAACTCTCCATATACTGAGTTCTCTTCTAGAATTCCCACTTATTACCAGGTAACCAAGAACTTACGACGACGGCAGGTCAACGCTGTCCATGACGACAAATAACTACCTATAGGGTACCAACAATCTAGATCAATTCAACGCCACCAAAAATATACCCTGTATTTTTCTCTATAGAGGGACAGAACTCAGCATGTCTGATATAACAATGTCTGGAACCAGTATTCCTACCAAAACCACTATATTTATGCTATAAAGGTATTTTCATCAGCAATACTCTGTCATGGAACGATCATGTTCGATCCATCGCGAAAGCAGCTTCGCAGAAACTCGGATTTTTATTCCGTGCGAAAATTACTTTACACCTCAACAGCTTCTCAAGGTCTGGTGGGTGATGCCACACTCAACAATTTTTTGACATCACTTGAAGACCGTTGAAGAGGCGGCGACCTCTCACATTTCAATATAAGTTCTTTAACGGTGAATGATCTCCAGAAATCTCTCCAATCATTCCATCGCAATACCACTCAGACGAGCTCGACAATCTCAATCAGCACATCCCTTCGTCGTCAACCCTGAAATATGCCGAACAAATCTTCAACAATAATTGTTTGCCTATATATAACGACGAAGCTTTGGGATTTTTTGCCAATGGAAATATTCGTAAGATCCGAAAGAATTTCAATTTCTACCTCCTCGTTCCTGGGTACGCACGATGATTTCCAAACATTGAAGGGATTCCCTTTCATGCACCCCAAGAGACAAAAAAATTAATGATGACAGCTTATTTTGAAAATCTGACTACGCCACTGGATTCTACGTGAAGAAATGTATGAGAAACTGTTTTCACTTCTTCTGTAATCTGAAAGATAGCTGAGATACAGGAGTGGTCCGAAAATGCAACATTTTAAAATTTCTCCTTGTATTCCAAAAACCAAGCAGGCTATGAATATTTCGTTTGCGGCATCGTGAGTTCCACAGAAAAGTTGCAGAAACCGCAGATCTCCTTCTTGAATAATAAGTTAGGTATCCCGTGAGGACATCGGAAATGGGACAGCTTGTACATAATATAATTATGAAATGATGTTGCAGTATTTCACGATTATTTCATTCTCGAACATTCTGAGGTTGCCGTGTACAACTTTAGTTTCGATTGTTTATAGACAAACTTGCTGTTTCTGTGAAATCATTGCACTTTACTGTCGAGCAGCGACATCTCTGAGTCTCTGCCTGAACTATGGCGTGTCGCTGCAGTGCAGTTTTCTGTATCATCTGAATCTCATCCTGACGGGATACAATCCGATGATTTACCGTCCGATAGAATACGGTGTCGACGAATTACGGTTTCTATGAGATACGGTGCTGCTAAATTACCAATTCTATGAATGTTCATTATGATAGATTAACGTTGATGAAATACGGGTCTGATAAATTATCATTCCTATGGAATACGAATCCGATGAGATACTTGTTCTATAAAATACGGGTTTGACACATTACTGTTTCTATAAAATACGGATATGATAAATTATCATTTCTATGAAATACGGGTCTGACAAATTACAGGTTCTATGAAATACGGATATGATGAATTACCGTTTCTATGGAGTACGGGTTTGATGAATTACTGATTCTATGAAATACTGATTTGATAAAATACCGATTCTATAAAATACGGTTTCTATGAAAAGTTGTTATGACCAAATACGATTATGATGGTGTATTGGTTCGATGAAATACGGTTTTGACGAATTACGGTTTCTATGGAATACGGTTATGACGAATTATCGTTTCTGATGGAATACAGTTCTGATAGATTACCAATTTGATGAAGAACTAGTACGATAGACTGATGTTGCGACAGAATACGGATTTGATAAACTACTGCCTCGATAGAATATAGTTCTGATAAGATACAGATATGATAGAATGATGACTCGTTTCAATACCATTTCGACATAAAACTGTTTGATGATTCACGTGTTGAAATTTTATATTTCGATGAAGTACGGCCCGATGTTTTACAATTTGATATTTTACGGTTCTACAGAATACAGTGTCGATTCTATACTATTTTGACGATTTACCAATTCGATGAAATATTTTTCTATGGATTTGAATTCGATACTTTATATTTTGACACATTAGGTGTCCCCTCCTTCTTTGCTATACCAGATGAGGTTGCTCTCTATAGCTATAGCAATTTCTCTAGTCCTATTTTCCTTAGAAATTTCAGGATTTGAGGTAGTTTTAGTTAGGGTAGCTCATCCTCTATTATGTATCTTGTCCTTTGGTTCTGTAGGGTCACACATTCTTTGAGAATGTGAATTGAGGTTTCCATACCCTCTCCACAGAACCAACATTCATCTTCCCAGTTTCCTAAGATTCAGCCTTTTCCGACATTTCCAAATCACTTTAGGGCTAAGCCAGAGCTCTAATAGCCGCTTGTCTATCGGATATAATAATATCTAGTCTTTAATAGTTTTTCCAGAGTCAAATGTATATATTTTTCTATAGCAGGAACTTATCCGCCTGGAAGATAATTGAAATTGGTCCGAGTCCCGTAGATTCCATCTAGTTTAATTTTTTTCGCAGCTTATGCTTGAAGCTTAGATGTTTATACATAAATGAAGATATCATAGATAATATCAGTTTTGGATGTTGATCCATATTTTTATCAAGAATAGAGAATTCTCAATATACAGTGTCACTCACAATGTCGGCATCATATGGGAAAAACTTTTAATATTAGTTTATTATAAAATCCGAATTGATTCAATCATGAGTAATATCGATTGACTGATAATTTCAAATATAATGATAATTTATTTCCCTTCAGATGCAAATATGTGAAAGTTACTAGTTGAAGCAATCAATTAACTGTTTTTGAAGTCAATTAGTTTTCAAAGTAATAGGTATCTTCCAAAAATATTTTGTATAATAATTAGTTCAAGTAGATGATCCACTTGAACTGAGTACTGAACATTCCGTACGAAAACTCATATCATAGTGTAGTTTGTTTATGACCTGGTAAAACTTAATATCCATTCTGTTCTGGGTTATAGAATAGAATAGCGTTTATTGACCACATTACATACATAAGTACATTTGAAGTCATTTGAAAATATAGTTGGTTGAGATCAAAATCAGTAAAATACATCAGCACATCACAATAAAACTACAACACGACAAAAAATCAATTCAAATTCAAATATTGATTGACACTATACATTTCTTAATTGTTTGTCTTTGAACATATCATTTAATTTGTTGTAGAGATTCAGATCAGATTTATTGTTTTGAGTTATAGAGATTCTTGAGTATGGAGTCAGTAGATCGTCCGCCCGCCGTGTGTTGTAATCATAAATGATAATAATAATAATGATATAATATAATAATATAATAATAACTTTATTCACAAAAAATAATAATAAACAAGTTAATAATTGAACCAGAATACAGTTGTGAAAAAAATATACTCGATAAGTGACAATTTAATGATAACTAATACTAATTAAATAAGATACCTATAGCTATAATGACAGATAGTATAAAAATATAACGAAAAAAATAGACTAATAAAACCTCGAATAAAACAACACAAAGGTGTTTGAAGTAATTGCTATATGACTACAAGGTATACTTATCACAAGTTGAATACAGGTTGCATGAAAAATATAATATAATGAAAAAGTTGGAATACACATAGAAAAGTAATGCATATTATATATAACTTTGATAAAACCATCAGTTAAAATAACTATTTATTGTACTACGGGGATTCGGGTATCGAGTGTTTGGATAATTTGGACAACTTACGGTGGATAAACAATAGTGACTCAAAGATAAACATACATGGTGATGGCAGAATTTCATAATTTTTTAAGAGACTCTGACAATGTGCTCGACATCAACAATGCGCACAGCTGATTTTTGGATTGCAAATACTTTGAGTGCTGCACTGGAGTTGCCCCACAGAGTCACGCCATATGACAGGTGACCATGAACTAGGGCATAGTATATTGTTCTCATAATTTTATAGTTTTGTGAATTGAAAGTGCATCTTCAATATTGAGTAATTCATTTATTGCTCGACATTTCCGATAAATATGTGGCCGGGGTAATGTTTTTGACATCCCCCATAACATTATGGCGGGCGACAAAGGGTTGAATTTTACGATACTGGAAAGACCCATTCAATTGTAATGATCGCATTCTATTTTTTTGCATTATTGATTCTAACGCGAGATTAACACGTCGAGTTGAGGCTTCGCACCTCTTCGTGGCCACTTTGGAGACCTGCAGAACATCTCTTTCCAAAGACTCGTTCATCCAACGAACAGCAAGGCTCTGGAACACATTGCCAAGGGAAGTGTTTTCCGAGGCATATAACCTCCAGAAATTTAAGAAGATGTTCTCTGAACATTATAGGATATCCCTTTTCGTGGGAACCAGAACATAAAAAAAACTGAAGTTGGATCGCCTAATTCTTCCTCAGGTTACCTTTTGTACGGCCCTCCCGGCTGTGGAAAGTCCTCCTATATAACGGCCCTGGCGGGCGAACTCGGTTTCTCCATTTGCGTCCTCAACTTGTCCGAACGCAGCCTCTCGGACGACAGGCTGAACCACTTGTTGAGCGTGGCGCCGCAACAGAGCATCATACTACTAGAAGACATCGATGCAGCTTTCACTTCCAGGTAGGGATAGCAAACTATCGAAAACACCATTAATTTAATTTAAATTTAATTCAATAAACGGATTCACCTTTACCAGACATTGATTATACATGATCAAGATGGCATAAGGACAATACCATCAGAGCACCAAAAAATGAAATTCAACAATAAAATAAATTCAACTTTCTGTAAACACTACAACTTATTGTTGTTGAAATTATTTCCTATTTTTTTATCACTTGAAGCGCAATTAGGTTGAAAAATATATTATGCCCAAAGGAAATAAAAAAAAGGATCAAATAAATTAATGGTGACTGATTAACCTAGAAGCAATTTTACAAATTCAATTTTTAAATTTGGCATAAGACTGAACGAATGGGTCAATGTTAAATGCATTGAAATTTCGAAAAATGCGGGGAAAAGGGCCGAAGAAGCCATAGTTGGTTCTATGATTATTTATAACAAATAATCCTGTGTTTCTAGTGAAATATAAGGGAACATTGAAGTTAATCCCATTGAGAAGTCCGTAGCAATCAATTTTCCTGAGATAATCTTGAACATAGTATAACTACCTAGCCTTGATCGACGGACAGATAAATTAATTAGGTTGAGGGTATCAAGAGTATCCGAATAGTTGAAATGGTGATAAGTTCCCATTTTGTAGGATATGTTTGGCGAATCTAACTTGGGCTTGATCGATTAGTGTGATATCACATGCATAGTATGGTGACCAAATCATACAGCCATAGTCCAATAAGGAACGTACAAGGGAGCAGTGCAAAATATACGTTGGGTTGCATGAAACAATTTTTGTATTACGCGATAGAAAACTTACCATTCTATTGGCGGATGCTGATACTTTCAGTAGACGGCTCTTGAAGGTGAGACGTTCATCAAAGGTGATTCTAAGATCTTTAATCTCGGTTACTTTTTTCAAGAATACATTGTTAATGTAATTTCATAAGGCAATATTATGAGAACGGGAAAACGATAGTATAAGACATTTATCGGTATTTTGGTCGAGATTGTTATGGACGCACCATAGATAAAGGTTGTCAAGGTCGTTTTTAAGAATTTGACTGTCTAGAATATCTCTAATGGTGCGAAACATTTTCAAGTCATCAGCAAAAACTAAGAAGCTTGCTCTTTTGATTACATCGGAAATGTCATTTATAAAAAGATTGAATAGTAATGGTCCACTGTGAGAGCCCTGAGGGATACCTGATGTGACCAGAATATCGTTAGATATATAGTTATTGATTTTAACTCTTTGTGAGCCGCCACTGATAAAACTACGTAGCCATTTCACAATTTTATCCGCAAAGCCAAAAGAACGAAGTTTCTCTAATAAAATTTTGTGGTCAACTCTGTCAAATGCGTTGGAGAAGTCCGTGTGAATTGCGTCAATTTGTTCGCCATGCTGCTGAGGTATTAAAATGTGTTTGCAAGACCATGTTAATTTGGCAGTAACAAGTTTGTCAAATCATTTTGGTTAAGTAAACTGTAAACAAATTCCTCTGTAGTTTTTGACGAGTTCACGATCACTAGATTTAAATATTAGAGTGACAAAACTGTTTTTCCAGAATTAAGGAAAACTACATGAATCCATTAATAGTATTATGCCAAACGATTTTGTCAATATTATGATACGAATTGGACTTAAAATATCCCCTCATTTTTGACAATATCCAACACTTTTTCTAGGGAGGACACCGCCCAGCAAAAGGCCGCTTTCGAAGGGATGAATAGGGTGACGTTCAGCGGGTTATTGAACTGTCTGGATGGGGTTGCCAGTACGGAGGCTAGGATATTGTTCATGACTACGAATTATATAGATAGGTGAGTCATTTACCTACTACCAATATGTAATGTGAAACATTACGACACTGATTTTAGTATCGTAATGAGATACTTTATCGCACTTGTGCGGTAAAGTGTTACTATACCGTACTAGTGCGGTAAAGTGAAAAAAATATAATTTCAAATTTTGTTTTCACTCAAAAAAAGAAATAAGAACGAATTTATCATGTATATAGGCATACTATTATCAGGTAATAATCTACCATTATAATATTCTATATCTACTAAAGTTGAACCTCATTTAAAATATATGGTAATCGGAGAAATAAAAAAAAATTATTTTAGGTACCAATAATACGTATTTTCGTACCTATCCCGGGATTTAGCAGGTACTAAAGTGTCGATTGCTGCTTTAGCCGCAATTTAGCAGGTACTAAAGTGTCGATTGCTGCTTTCGCCGCAATTTCTATATCGGAATCTAAACTTTCCTGATTCGAATTCATGCCGATGATTTTTATTTTTTCGAATTGGAATTAACGCGTCAAAGTTGACAGTTCGCCGAATGAGTGTCAACCGAGAAATAAATTCACGACAACCATATGCCCAACCCTAGCAACGGTTGCTTGTTACATATTCCTAATGAATCGTCAATTCAAGGCAAGGAATATTGAATATTTTTGATTAAATTATTAGCTTTTTGGTAGTAGGTAAAATATTGTATTATATTCCTATTGTAAACTCATATTATAATAATCTCATATCATAATATGAGTCTTCACAATACTCGTATCGTAAATATCTATTATTTTTCATTATGATATCTGTGAAATTCAAAGTTTTCTGAAATTGGTATGATTGCTGCTTCGCTGCTAGAAAATTAGATTCAAATTCAATAATGGTAATTCATTGTCACTTTGATCACACAAGTGAAAGTGTGACTTATATTACTTACGTCTTTTTATGCACTTCAGGGATTTAAAGTACAACTTTTCACCCGGAATCTGGATCACCATAGTTACTAAGGTACCTATCGTTTAGTGGTATTCAGTTGTTTTTTCGTTATTTTTAATGATTTACCTTTCCTAAAGGACATAAAATAGTATATACACCTCACGACTAAACTGTTTTTTAATCCCGCTACGAAACTTTTTTTCTTGGGATTTAAAATACCACTTTAGTCCCTAGGTGTATAATGTACTATTGAAACTAGGAAATTTGTCATCTCTCAGTAAGATATAGGTAATGAAAGATGAAAATCGATTTAGATGCAGACGCAAGACTAGATGAATGGAAACTATGTTTCAACTCCTTGGAGGAAAAAATTGATGATTTCTAAAAATAAGCAGTTACCAGGAAGGGGATTATTACCCGATTACCCCTCCCTTGTATCGTGTTCACGAATATTTACATTACACAAGGTTTAGGTTCCATGTCAGTGGGGTGAATGCTGCCTCTCCAGTGTGACCTCAGATAGGTCGATTGTGGCTCACCACATCTTCTTACAAAGTTCATGGTTGAATTAGGTGAGATTTGTCTGAAATCGATAGGTTCTAATTTGGTAAAGCCAAATATATCGAACCTCAGTATCCCTAAGTAAGAGCATGAACATAGTATATGTCCAACCTTTTCATCTTTCACACAGCAAAACCGACAGTCCGCTTGTTGGTTCAGAGTTCAGACCCATCCTTCCTATAGCTGGTATCTTAGATGACAGTGTCCCATAAGCAGTACTGTCAGAATCAGTGTTGCTACACGTCACAATAGTATTTTTTTTTTATGTTCTGGTTCCCACGAAAAGGGATATCCTGTAATTTCAGAGAACATCGTGAGAACCAAGGGAAATAAGGTAGGAATTGGTGCTCTTCTTTAATTTCTGGAGGATATATGCCTCGGAGAGCACCTCCCTTGGCAATGTATTCCAGAGCCTCGCTGTTCGTTGGATGAACGAGTCATTGAAAAGATATGTTGTAAGAAGCATATTACGCACGAATGGAAAAGTAATTCCATGGGTGCGTAATTGCTTTACAACACGCATTACGTAATATACTTTACCTACTGCCATATAGTACATCAAAAAAGTTTAAACAAACTATCTGAAGTATAATTCTTGGCAGTTATGTCATCCACTGTTGACAGCGATTACGCGATCATGACACCTATACTGGCGGAATAAACTAAAACTGTGCGATGTGCTTACTGTGCGTAAAGAGCTACTTACTGAGGCTGTATCTCGTGTGTTCTTGTCTACTTCCTTTAGTGGCCGTAGGTAAAGAGAATTATCGCATGAGCCGTTTAAAATTATCGTACGCTATCCTACAAAACCTTGAGTTGCAAATAACTGTCCTTTAACACGAGAAAATTAATACAAAAAGGTCCGATGCGCGAGCAAAATATATAAAATGCAAGCAGTAATTCCGTACGAATATAAGGATCAGAATTCTGAAAAGTATACTCTGGTCAGTTCTCTTTGCGGATTTTCTATTCGGTCCGTATCTGGACTGGATGGTTCTCTCCAATTTATTTCCAAGTTTCAAACACTTTGCTTCTCGGATCTGCAACTAAATATCACATATCAGAAAGTCCATGAGAATTAAAACTGATGTTGAATCTGAAACATACCTGAATAATATTCCCAACAACCGTAACTGGAATGCTTCATATTCGCTCTCCTTCCGAATAGTGGTTTTCCCAGTAGACATCTGCTACATTTTGAATTTCGTGGGTTATAATAAGGACCATAAATGCCAAACAGTGTGCTGCTAGGATCTAAAACTAAGCATCAATTTGAAATTTGAATCGTGAGACGTACATAGAATATAAATCTATAGAGTCTGAATATTGTTTTGAACATTCGTAACTGAAATGCGATATATTTTTATGATTATTCATCAATTCATCAACTCTCTCAATGCAGACGAGGTAGGCAGATAAACAACGATTTTCTCTGCAATGAAAAACACTGTATATACCTAACCCACCATGCGCCGACCTCCTTTGCAGAGAGGGTTTATAAACGCCGAGTTGATACTCTCCCCTCGTAAGGGTACCTGTCGTGTATCCATAGAGACATAAAGATGAATATCTGTCTATCTGTTTGCTTGAGAATCTGGAAAGGAATTCAATTTATCGCCTTCCGTACGAATATAAGGATCAGAATTCTGAAAAGTATACTCTGGTCTGTTCACTGCGGATTTTCTGTTCGGTCCGTCTAGACTGGATGGTTTTCTCCGATTTATTGACAAGTTTCAAACACTTCGCTTTTCGGATCTGCAACTAAACATCACATATCAGAAAGTCCATGAGAATTAAAACTGATGTTGAATCTGAAACATACCTGAATAATCTTTCCAACAACCGTAACTGTATTGCTACGTATTCGCTCTCATTCCGAAAAGTGGTTTTCCCAGTAAACATCTTCCACATTTTCAATTTTGTGGGTTATAATAAGGAACATGAATGCCAAACAATGTGCTGCTCGGATCTAAAACTAAGCATCAATTTGAAATTCGAATCGTGACACGTACATAGAATATAAATCTACGAAGTCTGAATATTGTTATCAACATTCGTAACTGAAATGCGATATATTTTTGTAATTATTCATCAATTCATCAACTATCTCAATGAAGTCGAGGCAGGCAGATAAACAACAATTTTCTCTGCAATGACAAACACTGTATATACCTAACCCACTATGCGTCTACCTCCTTTGCAGAGAGGGTTTATAAACGCCGAGTTGATACGCTGCCCTCGTAAGGGTACCTACCTGTCGTGTTTTCATAGAGACATAAAGGTGAATATCTGAATATCGACTTCCGTACGGATATAAGGGGATCTGAATTTTGAAAAATTCACTCTGGTCAGTTCTCTTTGCGGATCTTTCGCTCGGTTCGTCTTGACTGAATGGTTTTCTCCGACTTAGTGGCAAGTATCAAACACTTTGCTTTCTGTCCGTTTGCTACTTAATCTGGAAGAGAAATCCGATTTAGACTAAATTCTTGCTGCATTAACGAAGTTTCCGCAATATTTTCATAACTATTCCGTATTTTTCCACTGCTGAATAACCCATTTCAATTCGAAGACCGACAGAGATGTCAAAAAATGCCTGTTTTGTTTCCATGGCATTTCTGTTGTGTCAACAGCTATCTAAATCTTATTGGCAACTTTGATTCAATTCCAAATGAATGAAAAATGGTTTTAAGAAAAATTTGCAAACTATACAGGATCTCCGGAAAGGTGATGTTGTAAATGATAGGACTGATAGAGTGAGCCAAAATAATGTTGGTACTTCATATAAAAAAAAGTATATCGCCCTTCGTTTCGGAGATATTGACCTTGAAAGTAGGAATGAAAAAAAAGAATTTTATGTATAACTTTCAAACTATCATTATTTTTTTAAATACTGAAAATTATACAGTGCCGTGCATTTTTATTGAAATGAATAGGGGTCAGTTTTTTATTAAATCATATTAGGCATTTCTTCACAGGAAAACTGACCTCATAATATTGTTCTTTATGGTTTCAAAACCACGTATGTGGATTTTCATAAGATACGTAATAATCATTTACTCGGAAACGGTGAGGTCAACATAAAAAAGTATAACTCGTTTTTCCTTCCAAATCATGATTTTCCACCTACCGGACCCATTGAACGTTCCAAAATTCGTAGTTGATTTGAAGTCACTATATTTAATCGAGATGGAAAATGAAAAAAATTAATCCAATCCTGTTGATTCGGAATTAGGTGATTTTTTGCATATGGGGTTCGAGAGCATGAGGAACAATAATATGAGGTTAGATTTCCTGTAAAAAAATGCCTAATATGATTTTATGAAAAATCGACCCCTTTTTAGTTCAATAAAAACGCACGGCACTGTCCAAAATAATGTGCATCTCTGTAAAACTGATCATATTGATGGTTATTCATACCACACCATATTTGGTTGGAATGGCATGAATAATAACTGAGATATAGAGGGGGGGGGGCGTTTGAAGTGACACATGCTGTATAGTATATAAAATATAAGATGAAGAATTGAACCCGGATATACTGGCACTATTATTTTCGAAAGTCTAACGATTTTAAAACGTTAAACACAGGCTGAAAATATAATTTTGGCAAAATATTTAAATGATCTTTATTTTTTCACCACTGTGCATAACTCGAGGCATAACTGCATTATCACGTTTGTGTTATCGTTATTTTTTGAAATAGTGATAATGTAACGAGCACTCGAAAGTATCTAAACTATTTGGACAAATTATTTTATGCAATGACTTCTATCGATAGTTTACCTAATTTGACTCTTATGAAGTGGATGATCATTTTTTTGCAATAACTTTGAATTTCGAATTACGAGCTCAATAAAAATTCTATTTCAAAAATAATGATGAAAAAAATGTCAAATTGGATGCGCACTGTTGAGAGGTAAGCCAATTCATTAATTTTCCCGCTCTTTGCAAATATCAAAACATATCTACAAAATTCCGATATACAGTGTTGTTTTTGAAAAAGAAGAAGTTTTCTGTTTTTCCTGAAGACGTTTCTCGATTCTAAATTTGATTCCTATTCAGTTTTGATGAATAATATAATTTGGATATCGATTATACAGATTTTGCCAAATTCAATATTACGTTCTGTATCGCAGTTATAGAAGATGGTAGACACATCGATAGGGGGTGATTGGAACTATCAAAGTTTCCTATATCTGCAGGTATAGTATGTACATTTGAATCTGAAATACCCTGTATAGGCAAAAGGTATTTTTCCATGAAAATTTCGAATGGTCTTATTTTCTTCTGGTTTGATCTTTTCACATTATTATCTTGTAAAAAGATATAGTTCTGAACGGAAAGCACGGAAATCCGAAGAAAGTATTCCTTCATCGGAAAATATTCAACGAACTGACCTTCCCTATTTTCAAAACAAACAAAGTAATTGAGCTAAATATAAACAGGGAAATATGAGGGAAATTTTAAATAATCTTTATTCACTCACCAGCGTGAAAAATGTGAAGATTTGATAAAACAACACGAAACACCAGAACAGCACACGATCGCGATATACTGGCACTATTATTTTCGAAAGTCTAACGATTTGAAAAAATTAAACAGGCTAAAAATATAATTTTCACGAAAATCTCTAGTGATTTGAAAGAATTCAACAGTCAGAAGTAGTGAAAAATCTAGCAAATTTCTCGAACAGTGTAAAATGCACAAGGAGAAATACAGGGTGTTTCAGAAAATGTTACAGAAAATTTTGCGAAGAATTCAGTGGCGTACTCCATTTCATTACGGGTTATGATTTTGGAGATACGACATGTATTTTATTATTATTTATTTGAATCCGAGGTTGAATCCGTTATTTGTTTCCATTCAAAATGACGCGTAAAACTTTATACATAGGATTTCCAGAATTCCTAAAAAACACCAAAACATCAGACTTTGGTGTCTATTATGATTATTATGTCTGATTTACTATACAGGGTATTATGTCACGACGAGCTTACACTATCTGTATATCGAGAATCATTCTGGAGAAATTCATGAAAATATGCATGCTCATATTTTAGAATACGCTCTCTTCATTTGAAAGATTTTTAGCAATGCATTGTGGCAGCTTCTATCAAAAAGTAGCAACAACTTTGTTATTCCAAATAGAATACCCTGTATTTTTATTCTCCCTGGAGAGCTGATTTTATCGATGCATCACACACTTGGGGTCTATCGGAAATGATTACATAGATATAGGGTATTCAAAATCGAAATTTTTCAACTTTAGGTTTTGTTTCTGTCGAAACTTTTCATTATCGGCCAAAACGGCTCACATGTCCCTATCTCAACTTTTGATTTACTATTTGCTGATATTTAATCGGAACAGATACAGGATGATCAGAATTCTGAATCTTGAACCACCCTGTATCTGTTCCGATTAAATATCAGTAAATAGTGAATCAAAAGTTGAGATAGGGACATGTGAGTCGTTTTGACCGAGAATGAATAGTTTTCATACAAAAAAATCCTGAAGTTGAAAAATCTCGAATTTGGACACCCCATATCTCTGTAATCATTTTTTATAGACCCTAAGTGTAATATATTGATGAAATCAGCTCTCTAGGCAGAATCTAAAGATGCGATGAGATACAGGGTATTCCATCTGATATATCAATGTTGCTACTACTTTCTACTAGAAGCGACAACACTGCATTGTCGAAAATATTTTACATGAAGAGAGCGTATTCTGAAATATCAGCATGCACATTTTCATGGATTTCTCCCGACTGATTCTCGATATAAAGATAGTGTAAGCTCGTCGTGACATACCCTGTATAGATAGATAGGTAGATACTTTTATTGATCTCTTTTGATTATTTACATAACATGAGACAGGTCGTTATGCTAGTAGTGAGTACAGATATGCAATAAAGGCAATAAAAATGCTGATAAAATATTTAAAAAAAAGTAAAAGAGGAGAGAAGTAAAAACACGTTTTGGACTAGGACTAACAAGATATGTGTATATAATATATGTACATGAGAATTATGCAGTATAATGAAGACAATATTAATTATTTAATTGGACATATTCGTCAAGACAGTAAAAAGCCTGGTGTAATAGGTATTTGTTTAGGTGCGCTTTGAAAATGTTGGAACCCTGCAATGATTTCAGGTTTGGAGGTAGCATGTTAAAGAAATAGCCTCCAGCATAGAGAGGAGATTTTATATGCTGCGTTCTTTTAATTTGATGCAGACGAAAATCGGCACGTCTTCTTGTAGGGTATTCATGAAATTCGCTGTTTCTATCTAGTTTTCCTAAATTATTGTGTGTGTGTATAGCAATAATTTGTATAGGTAGATTGAAGTGAGTGTCAGTAAATGTGTCTTTACATGACTCTCTATGGTCTAGGTCGAACAATAGCCTTCTGAATCTCTTTTGCGAAACATATATTATATTGATTATAAAAGAACGAGTGAAAGATGGAAGACACATCTATAGGGAGTGATTGGAACCACCAAAGTTTCCTCTATTTACAGGTTCAGTATGTACATTCAAATCTGAAACACCCTGTATAGGAAAAAGGTATATTTCCATGAAAAAATTTCGAATCGTCTTATTTTCTTCTGGTTTGCTCGTTTCGAATTATTATCTTGAAAGTATTCAACGAACAGACGTTTCTTATTTTGAAAACATATAAAGTAATTGAGTTAAATATAAACAGGGAAATATGAGGAAAAACAGAGAATCTCTATTCACTCACCAACGTGAAAAATGCGAAGCTTTGATGAAACAACACGAAACACCAGAACAGCACACGATCGCGATAATGTAATCACTGAATTGAATGAGGGATACAAAAACACAATACTTGCAGTACTTGCACTAGTTTTCAAGTGAACACTCCGTTTGTAACGATAAATAATTCCTTTCGCGTATTTTTCAATTTCGATCACAAAATTCGACCGTTTGTGATGACATCTAATATAAAACTGTCTTGATTCACCACCTGGTCTCGAATGAATGACTAATAGGTTGAATCATGCTGGTAACCGATTAATCTCCGAAGAAATGAGTTATCTATGACTAATAACGATAATGAAATTATACAGGGGGAACAGATATATAGTATACAAGATATACGATGAAGAATTGAACACGGATATACTGGCACTATTATTTTCGAAAGTCTAACGATATTTTTCAACTCATTTGGTAATGAATTGTATAAAATTATTCCATTATTATTATGCGAAACAAGTGCTCTTACACTTATCGCCTTGTGATATTTATACCCGCTACTTTTTAGGTTAAGTTATTTAATTATCAAGCGAAACAAGTGTTTTACACTTATCGCATTGTGATATTTATTCTCTTTAATGTACTTTGATCCTTATATATTTGTATACTATACTTTCCTCAATAAATATCTTATTTATTATTTATTTATTATTGTGAAAAACAGATTGGTGCCAATGTTCGACTTGAATGTATTTGCTATCAAGTAAATCAATTGTCTAGTCCCATAATTATGGACTGTAATGACTTGACTTGAAGTTATCACAAAGATTTTTGAGTCTTGTCGTTGAATAAAACATAATAGGAGGATCTCATATCATGAAATTTCATTCTTGACTTTTTCGAGCAACCAGCATGTCCAAATATTTCTCTTTCTCCATAACAAAATATCATGTGAATGTTGCCAACATTGTGCTGAATGCTGAGAACTGACAAGACCACGCCCACGAGTCGTGCGCGGGGTTATCACGTTCACCGATTCAAATGTCCTCTAGTCTGAAATAATATAATCATTATTAACACATATTTATTATAAGCAATGGGCCACAATTCATAAGGGACCAATTTGAGACAATTGAATTTTTATTGCTAATTAGGAATTTTACCAATACTCAATTGCGAATTTATGAATTATTGAATAACTAATATAATAAGTTCCCAATCATATTTCAACATATGGCAACTGTGCTATGGTCTGCCCCTACTTACGAAATCGTCGCGTCAGTTTTTGCTGGCTGTAAATTTCTTGCCGTTTGAAAATTACCGTGGTATTATTGATGACCTAGCATATTGAGCACCTAAAAATCGACCAAAAAAATCTTGAAAAATATGAAATTGAAAGGTATTTGAGTGATGATTCTATTTGAGAAATAAAAAAAGTGAGACTACTCGCCTATATTGTATGTTTTCGAATTGAATTGTTTCAGACTGGACCCGGCACTGATCAGACCAGGAAGAGTTGACCTCCAAGAGTACATAGGGTGGTGTTCTCGGGATCAGATCGAAAAAATGTATCTGAGGTTCTACGACGGCGAGAACGCCATGTCTGAGTCTAGGGTATTCTCAGACAAAGTGATGTCATTCCAAACCGACATCAGCCCAGCTCAGATTCAGGGTTATTTCATGCTCCACAAGCATTCAGACCCTAAAGATGTCCTGGATAACTGTGAGATGATTTGTAAAATGAGGAAAAAGGGATAACACCATTATTTATTATTCATAATCATATTATTCGACGTCGGTTCAAGCATTGATCAGTAATTTGATTGATTTAGTAATTCAGTGAGAGATATTTGCTTCGTATGGTTTATAATTATATAAGGGTGATGATTAAGTTTGTGTTCAAACTTCAAGGAATGATTTTTTTTTTAGTTTTATTGAGAAGTGTCTCCAAGTAAGGATGTTTTAAAATTAAGAGTAGTTCCGGAAATATGCCTAAAAACCGAAATATTTTTTTATGACGTTATTTGAAGAGATATAGGAAAAACAAGACACTTTATTATTACCACTTTTCAAGCTCTACAAAACAGCGTTTAGAGATTTTATACAGGGTATATTTTTCACGGGTCATAAAAAAATAAAGTTGATAAGGGTTTCCCCGAAACGAAACGTACAGAAAATCTCTCCACGCTGCTGTTCGTGTCCTGTTTTCCTATATCTCTTAAAATAAGGTTAGAAAAGATAGAAACGGAATCGGAAATTCTCAGCTTTTTAGGCATATCTCCGAAACTACTCGGAATTTTGAAACTTTCTAAACGGCGTATTGTTAGGCTTGGAACTGCGGAACTTTTCTCTGATGTAACCATCTTCTTATCTCTTATGGTTTCCGTTATCCGCATGATAGTACAGGGTGTCGAAACAAAATCGGTTCTTGGCAAATCTAATTATGGCTAAACTAGCCCCTTACCACAAGTAACACTGCCAAATTTCATCAAGATTAGGGAAAAGATTTGTTCGCACCACTAGTTAAAGGACTTAGCATTATTCACTCCTTTTGAAGGCATACAATGTGTTTTTACTACCAAGGTAGTTTTCGTAATTTTATGAACCACTAGTCAATGAATAGTTAACCCCAATTCACTGTTCTGCTGCTATATTCACAGGAATGGCACTTGAATCTAGTAGGTATTTATCAATAACTACTTGTCATGTGCTGTCATGGTGACTAGATTTCAATTAGAATTGAAAAGTAGTGCTTCCATAGTGTAATAGGTCCACATTTCAGTTTCACAGAATTATAATGATTGAAATATATTGCTAGTGGTGAAATAAATGTGATATTCACCTTGGTAGTAAAGAATACCACCAGACCTTATACCTGTCGGCTGAAGACTCGGGAGATAATCTTGGCCCCTGGGCAATAACGATATTCTTTACTACCTTGGTGTATAAATAACTATTAAGATATTGACAAAAGGCAATGATTTTTTTTTTAATTTCAACACCCTGTATATTGAAAGCTATGTCTGTATAAACTTTTCCTCTTGTATCCACTCAGAAAATCACTTCTTGAAGTTTGGACATGTACTTACTTAAAACCCTGTATATCCGTATGGGCGAGTTAAAATTTGTTTTGGATACGGAAGTACTGGTGGGGTGGGGTGAATTGAGATACACTGTGAGTAGAACTTAAGATGATAACATATCTATTTATTTCATATGGTTGAATAGAATTATAAAAAAATTTTGGACTTCCTACATGACAGATTTATTTTCTGAACTTTTCTCCTTCCCTACATGGCAGATTTCTTTTCTGAACTTTTCTTTTTCACTTTCTTCTCCTTCTTTTTCCTGTATTTTCCGAATCCTTTTCTAACCATGGTTCCTCTCCACCAAGCTTGTATTTTTGTTGCAGCTTTGACATTTCTTTCAATTTCTTTTCTCAGTTTTTCTTGTTCTATCTTGTATTCTTTATAGTCTTCTATCTCCTTCTGACGTTTTGCAAACTAAAGATAATAGTAGATTGTTTTATTAGGATCAAAAGTGACACTTTGTTTGATAAGCGAATTAAGGTGAATTTGCAGTCTAGTGAAGCCGAGCAAAAGCAAAATTTGTCACTTTTGATCGGAATGAAACATGCTATTTTTTCTGAAACCGAGAGAATTAACTAAAATGAATATGTAATTCATCATAATAATATAGGTAAGTAGATAGAAGCAAGACTTCAGACTATTTTACATTAGAATATTGGGGAACGATGCCATATATGTATGCAATGCTACAAATAATCCCCGTGGAGAGAATATTCTACCTGAATTTACAAGTCAGTTTTATCCAATTTCCAAGGATATTCGAATTTTAGTTTCAATATATATACAACCACAGAGTGACCCATTTGTGTATTGAATCGATGAATCGATGAATTCATTTGGACCAGGTGTTAGTCCTAATAGCAAATACCGTGCCAGTGCCAGGTATACCAAAAGTAAGTGGAAAATGTTAGGTAAGTGAGCATATCGAGAATAGTAATAGCGATTATTTCTCTCAATTTCTCTCCAAATTCCAGTGTGTTTTGCTCGGTAATCAAATGAAGGTAAACAATATCGTTGTGTGAAACAAAAAAGTATTGCTGGCCGTGATTATTCAAAAACAAGTTATCCAATCAATCAAATCCCGAGAATGAATGAAATACAGATCAAGCAAGTATGTGAATCTTGGATGCTTTCCTGATCAAAACAAAAATACTTGACTATCATGTGGTGTATTTATATCTTCAGCATGAGTATGAAATGCCAAATCTGCCATACATTCTTTCTAGTTCCTAGAAGCTAAATTTCACCTTTAGCTCCTAGGAACTCAAAGTGTTGCCTAGCAACATACCTATGTTTGTGTCAGTAATAGAAACGTCAATTCAAGCGCTAATTTTGGTATTGAAATGGACGACTTCTGTGTCGGTTGTAGAAAAAGTGCATTCTTTTATTCAATCAATATGTATCTAGTTTGTATCTAGTGTTTTCCGTAAAATGTTTCAATACAGATTATAATTACAAAACTCAACCACCAAATTGGATCCGCCATCTTGAATATTTCAATTTTGACAAAAGAATCATAATCTCCGACCGCAAAAATTCCCAGATATCAATTTCGAATGGAATCGGATTATAATTACAAAACTCGTTCGCCGTATTAGATCCGTATTATTTCTCTCATAGGAATCTTCTCCTGACAATAACAAACACAACAATAAAGATGTTGTGAAATCGGTCAATCCGTTTACGATTATTCAAAGGACATACAGACAAACATTCACTTATACATATATAAATATATATAGATAACTGAAAAACTAAACAATTTTGAAAATTGCATGACCCTTGGAGTGCGTAAAGTTTTTTCCCTCTAGCCGAATTTGTATCTCCTCCCGCTCCTCATGTTGTGCAACCTTATCTTTTCAATGTTATAATTTTCTAGATGATAAGTGATATTCTTTCGTTCTGAACGAACGGACACATTTCACTTGAATTGAACTGAATCAGTTGACATGCAATGAACGTCATTTGCAAGAACGCATATTAACTGATTCAGTTCAAGTGAAATATCTCAGTTAATTCAGATTGAAAGAAAATCACTATTCGCGGGAATCAATGTTACTAGGTGGCGCTCGGTTTTCATCGTTCCATGTCAAAGACACGTCAAAACTGGGGGAAAACAAACTCAATCCTCACATTAGTGCCATTAGCTTTGTTACTGTGTACTGATAAGAGTGATAAGTTTTTAAATTTCTTGACATTAATTGTCAATATTCGATCGAAAACGCTGATAATGCCTGTTGTAGATGTTCTTTTGGCAGATATTCTGCTCTATTTAGACGGAAAAAGCCGACCAGTAGTGGAAGGAGAAGCAGTTCTCCGCGTGCTTATCATGTGGTTTTGTGTAAGGAAGACTTCAACCATTGTCGATCTAAATGAAAACCTAGTAGGCGACCTAGTACGCGAGGAGGTACAATATTGTCTGTTCTTTGAATCAAAATCTGTCTGCCTGTCAAGTGGCGCTAGCATCCTGAAAATGGAAAAAGCTCATTTGTTTCTGTCAAAATAGACCATATTAGGTTGATATTCTCTTCTTCTATTTTTCTCCAATATGTACTCAACCACAGACGTGCTTTCCATCATTGACGTGATATTTGATAGGAAGACGATGGAGAAGATTCATGTAATCATAAAATTATTTTCTGACAGTTGTCATTAACTTATAACTTCGTCTTTGTGGGTGTGTTGAACTTTGATTTCCTTTCTTGGAAATTACAATTATACCTATACCTAATCATTTCTTCTAGTATTGGTTTTCTATCAGAGTTTGTTGATTGGTTTGTGAGTACGATTGTGTTATTTTGCAATGTCATCTGAAAACTGCGCACTCCAGGAGGTGAAGGTGTAATTGAATTATCAAGACATGGTTTCCCCAATCCCCACTGTTGTGAATTTGAGCCTCAAATCCTGAGGCGTCAATGGGTTCACGCCATATTCATTGGATATCAAGGTGAACTTTTTTTCTTGAATCACTAGTATTTGGAACTTAATGATATTTATATTTCAGGAATGTGAGTTTTTGGAGTAAGCGAACATGATACTATATGTTTCCAACATTTTAAGGGAACTGTTTCTTGCCAATGAAGAATAGGAAACGGTTTTGGAAAGAGAGTACGGTCCCAAGTTTGTTCAAGGTAGAAATATATAAATAAAATGGTATTTAACAAATTTGTACCTATACTAACTAACTAATTATTAGTTTCGGTATGAAATTCACCAATAACTTGACTTTGGTTCCTCTAAAAGTTGTTCCATAGTCAAAAGTCATTAAATTCATTTCAGAATGGTACAGGACATTGAAACTAGGGACAATATTTTTATATTTTCAGACTCGGCAATGTTGTTTGGAATATGATGCTGAAGAGGAATTCCTGCCTTAAGGAACAGGACCTGACGATGAAGAAGCATCTGAGGAGGAAACGGGCATTTGAACAGATATTATAGAATGATAATAAATAATAATAAAGTTCATTCAAAATGTTGACTTAAATATAAATTAAAAAGATACATATTGGTATTGAATATTCCTGTGGTTTGATTTGTGCCAATAATAGACACATCTTCCCATATTTAGTGAAGTTCGTAGCTTCAATAAGATGATTTAATAAAAAATAATCATTGTTTTACTTCAAAAATACTTCACCTATATACAATATTTGTACAATATATATAGTGTTTTCAAACTTATCTGCCAATACATCTGTACAACAATAAACAGGGTATCAGAAGAGAACAAACTATATAGTAGAATAAAAATTGAAATAATTCTTCATAATTATGTACAATTTATTAAAAAAAATTAAATTGTATTGCCATTCATACAATACATACAAGTTATATTCCAATAAAAAATTCTAAATATCCCAGCATCTTGACAAAGAACCCTGAACAATAGAATACCATATATCTGAGGATGATTCCTATACAATCTTGAAATCACTTTACTCTAGTGAAATTCTGAGTGGCTCACTACGAAAATGGTCCTGAGTGTGCTGGAGTGGAATATCACATGTTCCTCATCATCTAATTGATTGCTTGAAAAATGGATAAATTGAATATACATTGGGGTGTGTATAATTTGTAGCCTAGAATGAAATGCCTGGCTATTTCCAGCAAACAAATCGTTGTTCTTACTGCTTATCTGGATTCAGCTCATCGAACTACAGGATGAAAAGTTTCTGATTTTATTCACTGCCCCATTTTCTTGTGTGTTTTTTCATAAAATCTTGTGAGCTGGATATTTTTGCAGCTCGACTTTCAAGGAGGTACCTATCTATGAAAAATATAATGATATTTTGTGTTTGGAGCAGAATATCCATGAGACATTGATGAAATAACCAGATTGAGTCTAACCTTAGTGCTTCTATATATTTATTTCAGATGGTAAATTTTCCATTCTGTTCTGGAACATCATCATCCTTCTGGCACAGTTTATAAACTGTGCTTCTGGTACATTCCTTCTGAACATTACTCACATAATGATTTCTAATGTGATACTTCCACATCACTCATAGTTTTCCGTTTTTCAACTGAAAAGCTATTAATGTAAGTACTCTTCGCTGTAGGTAGGTACCTGAAATTTTCAAGTATATATAGTGATTCCGATGTGTACATGGTTTACATCACTAAAGACATGTTTTCACTGCAAATAATGGAATTTCACGAATTATAGAGTAACTTATCAAAAATATAGAAGGAAAAAAGCAGCCCCTACCTTTCTGCTTGGCTTGCATGTCGAAAAAGTGTAATAGCACTATTGAGTTTCCGAAGTTTCCACAGTTCCAACTTAAATTCAAGTTGCATCATGAATCATACTAATACAGCATTGCCTAAACATCTTCCTGCTTCCATTCAAGTATAGGTAGGTGGTTTTCATACTTGATAATATCCTTCGTGATAATGTTTCATTTTCGGGATTCCACATGACAGATTTTTATTTACAAACTTGACAGGACCATGAAAAATGTTACGGTTAGGTCTGACAAATGAATAACTTAGTTTACTTGGTTCACATTGATGTCTCTGTACTACTGAACGCCTTCATTTATTTTTTCAAAGAACAGACAATATTATGCTCTCGCCTACTAACTACCTAACTAGGTTTCCATTTAGATCGACAATGCTTCAACAAAAGGCACATTTTTGCACTTTGTCTACAAACTTCGGCGATGAAATCTTCCCCACATGAAGTAAAATTGTAGTTGGGGTCCAGAGAAACTCCTGTAGAACAATGGATTTGTATTTGTTCACGCAAAGCAGGATAATCTGGGTATTGTTAACATGTTGTAGCTGTTCTTTTATATGTCAATTGATTTGCTCGCCATAATTAGTTTGAATTGTTTGAACTATCTCCAATTCTCCACCCGTTCACTGTTCACTAAACTAATAATAATGTAATAATGTAAAAAAATTAACCAACTCAACCATCATCACTACCAACATCAGTGCCAACACTTTATGTCATTGACAAGTTTGACTACAGCTACATCAAGCTGAATGCAATGTAGTCTATGCACTTTATCCATAGACAACAGTTTGTTTTCCCCCAGTTTGAAGTTCGTATTATGTAACCTAGATGTCGCCCACTTCGTGAATCTCGCGAATAGATATTTCACTATTGGTCTTTTTAGTGGTAAGTCATCTGCTGAGCATTTGAAGGAAAATAAATAAATTACCAAAATTTCATGTTATGTTGCATTGATAAATCTTTGAGGTTAGAAATGTTACAGTCTTACGTCAATAAACTGAATTGGCGCAATAAATTTAAACGGCGATGAACACTTACTTCTCTTCATCGAAAAATTATCATCATCATTATCAATTTCACAAACTGCGATGGCAAAATTTTATATTCATCAACGTGTTGTATTTAGTTAGGTACCTATATTTTCGGAACATTGTTATACATGACATGAATTCCAAGAATTGTTTACAATGTACCTAGGTACTTCTCTTCACCTGACTTATTTCGATTATCTTTTTTAATAATATGATATTCATTTATACAATTCCAACACTGTTGATCTCTTATTTTGTTATTTTTGTAGTTTGCGAAATAATGAAATGGATCTTGTTGATTTTACAATTAGAAACGCCTCTTCTAGTTTTTGCGGTCAATATTTTCGGACCCCCTTTATAACGAAATATTCCTAATGAAGTTAAGCAACTTAATTTCTCCGAGTTATTCCATTTATAAATAATCAAATAAGCCAAAACAGGGTGTAGCTCCCATAGGATTTTTTTATTTTTGGTCCATGAGTCTACGGTCGAAGTATTGCACGCTAATTTTGGGACACCCTACATATTTTCTACATCATACCAATTCTCTCATATTTCTTATTCTCTCCAATTGTTGATCTTGTTTTTCTTGTAGAGTGTTAATCGTCACATTCATTTTTTTCATGTCGATAGTGTACTTCTGCTTCCATTCTTCCAATTCAGATTCAAGCTCCTAAGGAGAAATACAGAATATACTTAACCTGAAGTCATCGAACAAACAAGAAGAATACTTTTTGAAACCAGTTATAGGCCAATAGAATTTCTTTATGAACTCTTTCTTCTTGGTTGATGTCAGCATTTGTTCTATTGATATGTTCGCGCTTTTCTTGTTGTTTCTGATTGGTTATAATATCACTCATTTCAATTTGGGCATTCTCCCACGCTTTTATGTACTTTAATTTCATGCCACCTTCAACTTGAAAATTCTGTAACGAAATATTATCAGGGTGGCAATGTTTTTAACCTCATTCATAAAAATGGTCACCTCTATGTCATCTTTAATTTTACCAATATCTGCCATACAGTTCAATATTTGTTCAATAAATGTTGCCTTCTCAGCACTCAACATAGTTTGCAGTTTAAGAACTTCCTTTTCTTTTTCCGAAGATGCAATTAGTAGATTTTTTTCCTCAGCTTTCAGATGGTTAAAGCTTTCCAGAGCAGTCTTGAATTCTTCATATGACCCTGTATGTGTCAGTTCACTCAGCAAGTTAGTCAATAGAGACTGGACAAAAACACAGTATTTTTGAAACAAAGCAGAATTCTTGTCGCTATTGAATGTTACATTTGAATTAGTGCTCATGTCTGAAAATCTCTGTTCTGGGGTTTTATATTTGTCAAGTGTGTTTCCGTTCTTTGGCCACTTGTTTATATTTTCCAATATATGTAGTTGATCCAGTGATTCTCTTACTGTGGAAATGCATATCCGTAGAAATAGTTTTTCAGGTAGGAACTCTTCTGATTTTTCCTGCAATTCTTGGAGGTTTGCCCCAGTCATATTTTAATAAACAATATTTTCAATCTATAAGCTCAAATTCTGTTTCAATCCACCAAAGTTTGATCAATAAAACCTTGGCTGCTGGACTAAACTGAGTACTGACATAAACGACCAGTTTAATGGAACAATATCGAACTTATTAGTTGCAGAAAAACTTATTTAGGCTCATGATATTATCGTGGTATTCTAATTTGTTTGGGATTTCCTCTCGTTTCTATAAAATAAAAATATGAATATTATTTCAATATACGTTGTAGTAAGGAAGTTTGAAGAATATATAAAAAAAAAATATCAAATTTTCGCTTAACTTTGGACTTATCGGGAACGAATCTGCTCCCGAATTTCAACTAAAATATCTTTTATGCGAATCAAATAATGAACTAAAAATCACAACAAGAGTTCAAAACTATTTTGACATGAGAAGCATCGGCATTTTGAAACAAAATACATGAGTGGAGGGAATTTTTCATTTTCAAAAGGATAATTAAGTAACTTGAAACAAGTCACGAAATATTGTTATTTTTCTTGTTATCAATAAAAAAAATATCGAGTATATGCTATCATTTTATTCCAAATCGAATGACACATACTTTCCAATGGCAATATGGGGTGCCATTCGAGAATAAAAGTGGGGGTAGCTGCCAGAGAACTGTTAAATGTAATAGATTTTTTTATATGTCATCAGGAAGGTACTTCGATGCCATTCAATGCAATTTTTGAATTTTTCATTTATCTTGTCAAATAAACGAGATGCCTGTATACGATAACTTGGGACACCCGCATTGTTAATTTATTTGAATATTACAGAAAACAGAATATCAAAGCATTGTTGGATCAATAATTTTGTGAATCAGTTCATTCAGTTGCGTAGCTATGACTCGTAGATTGTCTCTTATCAGCTTCTGGATTTGTCCAACAATCAGTGGATGGAAAAAAACGGTGAAAACTTTCGTCATGGCATCCAGTAACCAGTCAACTATTTTATTCCCATGGAATTTTACGGTGATATCACTGAAAAATATAAGAATAATCATTATCATTGATGAGTAAGTCACAGAGTATGACAAGTACTTGAGAATTTTGATTATAATTATTATGAAATTCTTACTACGCATTGATACAAGATATCAATCAATATTCGATGCCAGATAAGTATTATCTTTTGTCTAAGTTATACTTTTCTAATTGCTACCAGTTTTTTATAAATAAATTGGATATTACGAATCAATCGATTTCTTATCATTTAATTATGGAAATAATACAATCGACACGTTTTTGAGCTGGGGAGATTTCCTAGAAATACGTCGTTTATATTAATTGTTGAAAATATGCACGACAATTTCTGAGGGGTCTGAAAATAGATAACTTCCTAGGAGGATTGATAATTTAAAAAAAATAACTGAAAGTCCTTTTATCTTCCATTCGACTTCGCGGTAACGTGTATTACTTAACAACCGCTAAATTCGCAATTTTTTGAAATCAAATCACAGAATTAGACTGACAGAAGTGACATCAGATATTTGATTACTTCAAAAGAATGATAAAGATGCCTACAACGCAGGTGTCCCTACTGTTAAAAACTTGAAATTTCACGTCGATAATTTTCAGATTTCAAAATAATGTAATATCTTCTCAATATTGATTCGTCCTTTCTTCTGTCACAGAAAAAAATAGTGTATTATACACGGAAAAAATATTAGATTTTAGCTCACGGTGTTTTGTCTCCCTCCGCTACAACCTGGAGTTAAAATCTACTACTTTTTTCCCTTGTATAATGAATAACTAATGTTTTTCCATTTTTTCGCATGTAACTTGAGGAATATTCTTGGACATAAATCTTTTTCATCATTTCATTAGTTATTTATAAATTCACCCAGAATTTCTTCAGTTCCTATTGAGCGCCAAACAATAGTATATTGTGCAACAAGTGGGGAAAGTAAACCTTCCCCCACGAGTGTGAAAGTTTGTGGCACGAGCCTGAAGGGTGAGTGATGTAAACACACAAGTGAGAAAATTACGTCTCCACAAATGTTGCACACTATACTTTTTCTACAACTGCACTTGTTTAAGGAATCCAAAGTAATGTGAATATTGGTATTCATTTTATAATGTGGCACTATGCCACATTGAATAATGTGACCAAAGAGTAGACGCCTTTCATAGTTCCTCAAAGTATTTCAAGAAAGTACACTTTTCGAGAAAGATTTTTTTTAGATTCCATACATTTTTCGTATAATATGCCAATTCATACTTTTTTCATGAAATTTCCGTAAACAAATCCAACTTTCGCAGCTTTTTCCATTATCTCTGTCTCTGGCGGTGTATTTATCAAAATCAAAATCAATTATTCAAAGCTGAACAGCTGCCAATTCAGTTTTGGTCGATTATTTGTTGATTCTCTATGGAAATGTATGTGGTGTTGGCAAAGTGCCGTGAGAAAAAATATTTCTCACAGTATGAGCAATACATGGTTTTGAAACTAAGTAAGCTATGGAACATCTGCTACTTTTCATAGCAGTAGTAGAAAAAAATAATTTTTTATTTACAACTTAAACGCGAATCATTTCACATCACAAGGATTGACATGAAGTGAAAAATTCCATTTTACCTCCTTTATTGATTATAATATATTTTTTATAGTTGACAAAAACAAATCGTCCCTCTGTTTTCACTAATATTTTTCGCACATCTCGAGCCTTATCTCCAAAACCAATCCACCAGAAATTTTGAAAAAAATGAATCTGTGATCCCTAAAAAGTAGCTAATCGCCCATTCAAGGCATACCCCACATGTTTCGACTCCAAGACTTCAGTCTCATTTGTATTCTACTCCTTAATAAAAATTATTGCAGATGATGAATTAATTTCAATTTCTCACCCAGTATCGTCCATGTCATAGTGATCAAGAGCAGCCTGATAGGTTCTGAAGTCGAAGCTGAGTTGAGCATTCACTCTGACATTTTTGACAGTTCCGTTTACTACTCCATGGGAAGAGATGAAAGTCACCTTGCTATGGAAGTTGTATGAAAACTAAAAACAAAAAAATGCGCACAGGGTAGTAATAATTAAAACAATTAATAAGGCTACATTTAATTTATACAGTGTCATTCATAAAGTCGGCATCATATGGGAAAAACTTTTATTATTGACTTATTTTGGAATTCGAGTTGGACGTTAAGTTTTGCTTCAAAAAAGATGAAAAATGGCCTACTCAATCGGGGTCACGTGACTTTCGCTACATGTCAAAAGTGACTTTTTTTCAAATTAATCGCTGAAAGTAGGCTTATTTGTTCGAATATCGAAAAAGTTTACTTGAAAAAGTTGTTTCTATTTCAATTTTACATATGTGACACATATTTTATCTTTCTATCACATTTTTTAGATTTCGATATTTTTTAAATATTTTCGAAATTTCTGTAATATTAAAAAAAATTTAAATTCGGTAAAACTACTTCATACCAGTAGCTTCATCATGTTACTAATTTTCAATTACTAATTATCACTAATTATCGACAAAAATATGATTTTCTTCAGAAAATGATAATCTCCTCTTCAAAATTCTGTTATATGCTTGATCCAAACATAACATCAAAATTCTGTTATGTTTGAGACAAGCATTTAGAAACGAAATTCATTTAAATTTATTTTTTTCAGTATTAAAAAGATCAGTTCAAATGAATTTCGTTTCTAAATGCTTGACGATATATCAACTTTGCATCAAACATAACAGAATTTGGAAGCGGGTATTATCATTTTCTGAAGAAAATCATATTTCTATTCATAATCTGTCATAATAAGTAATTGAAAGTAAGTAGCATGAAAAAGCTACTTTTATGAAGTAGTTTCGTGGAATTAACAATTCTTCAAATATTACAGAAATTTCGAAAAATTAAAAAAAAAACGAAATCTAAAAGTTGCAATAGAAAGATCAAATTCGGGAAGCATGTGTAAAATTGAAATAGAAACAACTTTTTCAAGTAAACTTTTTCGATACTCGAACAAATAAGCCTACTTTCAGCGATTAATTTGAAAAAATGTCGCTTTTGACATGTAGCGAAAGTCACGTGACCCCGATTGAGTAGGCCATTTTTCATCTTTTTTGAAGCAAATCTTGACGTCCAACTCGAATTTCAAAATAAGTCATTAATAAAAGTTTTTCCCATATGATGCCGACTTTATGAATGGCACTGTATGTTAATGACGTACGAAGAGAACATTCACAGTATGACAAAATGTTATTCCATTTATATATAGAACAATAAACAGGATGATATAATGAAAGTAATGGTGCAGCAGCTAATTACCCGGTTAACTCCTCGAGAGTTTTATAATTTAAACTTACCCGCAGGTCACCAAACTTCATCGGAAGAATCAAAGTCAGTATCCTGTCAGAAGGAATGTAAGTAACGCCAATGACACCGTCTCTTGACAAAGTTTCCAAATCTTGCAAATACCCTGCTGTCAAGTCTACTTTGCCTGTTGGCTCCAACTAAAATAATGGAATATTTTTTTTATTGTTGCTAAGGATGGCGACCGTTGAATATGATTTCTGGTGTTGAGTTGGCGGAAATTCGGTCGAAATGTTGAAGAAAACAAATTTTTAAATTGTCGACGTTTCGAAACTTTATTGTTTCATCTTCAGGACACTGAAGTAAAAACAAGACCATACATATTAAAATGATATTTTAAAATGATGATAAAAGCAAAATAAGTTATGTAAAATAACAATCGTTGAAAATAAAACACTTCTCACACTTTACAGAAAACAACATTGATAGATACTTACATTTAGGGTGGCTTTCCGGGTTTGAAAATAGTGAAATGAATAAAATCGACATAAAATATAAATACGTACACACAGGTTCATGAAAGACCTCAACACAGACACGGAACATGAAGGAATGAACAAACTGAACGTTTCTTTATATTGCAAAAAAGGCTCGTGAAAGAGATAATAATCGGGATTGGAAAAAGTCGCCTGCTGATGATTCGGAATTATTGTTTGATTTTTTCTATTAAATTGAAATATGAGGTGTGTAAATTCTCAATATCCGATCTTTTGTTAACACATTTTGTTCCATGTTTTGTTAATTCAATCAAAGGGATATTCTGTGATGTTCAGAGAACATCGTGAGAACCAAGGGAAATACGGTAGGAATTGGTGTTCTTCTTTTTCTGGAGGTTATATGCCTCGGGGAACACCTCCCTTGGCAACGTATTCCAGAGCCTCGCTGTTCGTTGAATGAACGAGTCTTTGGAAAGAGATGTTCTTCAGGTTTCCAGAGTGACCACGAAGGGGTGCGAAGCCTCAACTCGACGGGTTAATCTCGTGGGGACTGCCAAGGGAGGAACAATTGTAGATATTTCAGTAGAGCATCGTCCGTGAAAATATCTATAAAATAGAGCCAGATCGCCAACTTTTCTGCGGTGTTCCAGAGAAGTGAGCGAGGCATCACCCACGAGACGAATTGCCCTTTTTTTAACAGAATCCAACAGTTTCAGGGTATGTTTGGGTGCTGCACTCCAAACATGGGAACAGTATTCCAGGACAGGTTGGATCTGTGCCTTATAGATCATAAGCAGCTGACTGGAAGTGAAATAGCTCCTGGCCCGAAACAGAAAACCAAGTTTTTGGGATGCACTTTCAGCAATTGATCTCACGTGATTTTCCCAAGAAAGGTTATTGCTGATAGTAATACCAAGCATCGAAATGGATGTCTTCAAAGGTATAGTTACTCCTGACAAGCTTATGTTGGACACAGTGAGATCGGCTTTTCTAGAGAAAAGGCATGCTTGTTTTTTGTTTGCATTAGAGAAAATGGAAAATCGTCAATATAAAAACATGCCTGAATATCATGTATCAGAATAACCTGATTACCTTTTTGATGAAGATGAGTTCTCTGAACATTTTCAAGGGAAAATGTTATATCATTTTCAGCTCATTACATTACATACTGTTTTACAGGGGTTGAAATAGAAATTGGAAGTATTTTTCTTCAGTAACTAGAGAATGAAAATTTGAGTAAAGTACGGGAGATTTTAGAGAATATTTGATTACTAGCATATGAGTCAGCTGATGTCAATTCCAGTGCCGCAGTTAGATGTTGTTATTTTCATGTTGTCCAATGGTTAGGTGGCTATGGACATTTGAACAATTATTATGCAAAATCATGGAATAGTTCTCAATGTTAATCCATAAAGTTCTTCTTCAATTACGATTTGACCACTTTGGATGGTTTATCGAAAATAATCAAGACAAAAGTTCTAAATTCGAAAAATCAGCTGTATACAAACTTATCTGTGAATCTTCTCCTAAGGTATATATCGGTTAGACAAGTCAAACATTTAATCAGCGCATTCATGAACATAAGATGAATTTTTTGAAGAAGGGAACAAATTCAGCATATGCGAACCATACAGTAGAAGGAAACCATAGTTTTGATAATAATTTTGCTTTTGTAACATAAAGAAAGACGCAGGCATTTCCTTAACTAGTAATTCGTGTTTCTAATAGAATTATTTGACATCAAATTGCACAAACTAAAGTATGATATCCTCCTTTATACCTATCTTACTGAATACCATCTCTGACTTCTGGCTCTCTGATTTCAAATTGAAAATACATTAAATTCAAAAGTATAGTGTAGATTCCTTCTAGGTAAATAATGACTTACTTTGAGTGTTGCATTCGGCAAATGAACTGAATTCAAGTGCCTCGAAATTATAAGTTGTTGTACATTGGCAAAAATTTTGTCTGCATAGTCGTCGATGTCGATGCCTACATTTCCTTTCCTATTCAACAAAATTATATTTATTTTTTCTGCTGGATGTCAGCAGAGGAAAAAGTTACTAGGAGGTAATACCTAGTCCCTCTGCTGGTGAAAATTCAAGAGTTAATAGAAGTGACGACATTGGAAAAGAAATGTAAATTTAAATACTTCACGTGACATTTTCTTTGTCTTACCTCTGATCGTAATCCGCGATATCTTCTATACCTATAAGCTTTTCTATCAATTCTCTTGGAAGTAATTCATTTTCTTCAATATTTTTCAGTTCTGCTCCGTTGAAACATAACGAATGAAATATTGCTAGCACTAACAATTTCATATTTACTGGCTATAGTTACATCAATATGAACTGTATCAATACCTTGTTATATCTAACTATATTATAGACACTCTACAATAATTCATTAATATTCACCTCGTTGAAAATTTTCAAGTATCGAGGATTGATAAAAAACATAATAGGTATCAGATTTAGATGAACAACTCTTCATTCATTGGGTAACTGAATATTTTCTTTAGGACCATGAAAGGTCCGGAGGAGTGGTTCCATTCAGTGATCGTACAGATTATAGGATATACCAAATGATATCGCCTCAAAAACATTGGGGGTAGTTTTTTTATGTACCTACCTACCTATTTTTTTCCCAGATAATTATAAATATGGAAAATATGTCTATGATGTCCCCTTCAACTGTATTTTCAATGGTATACTATATAGTTGGTATAAACCACTTTCAAAAGCCCTGACTTCAACAACCTGTATCTCAAAAACGGAGCAAGTTAGGACAAGTTAGGACACATTGTTATTGTATTGTTATTCAGATACACCCTCTATATCAGAAATATATTTTTTTTTTATCGCTTGGAGCGCACGAAAAGGAATCCCTATAATGTTCAAAGAACATCGCGCGTTCCTAGGGAGGATAGGGACAGGAGGTAGGTATTGGAATTTTTTTTGAACTTTTGGAGATTATATGTTGTTGGGAATACTTCCACAGGCAATGAATTCCAGAGCCTAGCCGTTCTATGGATGAAGGAGTCTTGATAAAGTGCTGTTCGACATCTTTCGAGGTTGACAACGAAAGGATGTGCTGACTGGGCTTGTCTAGTTCGTCTGATTGGTATTGCTAGTGAAGGGATGATAGCAGAGATTGCCGAAGAACATTTCCCGTGGAAGTATCGATAGAAAAGTGAAAGGTCGCCGACCTTTCTACGGTGTTCAAATGATGTCAAAGAGTGAGTGAGTGTGGCGTCACCCACCAGGCGAATGGCTCTTCTCTGGATGGAATCTAAGAGCATCAGCGTATGTTTTGGTGCTGAACCCCATATGTGGGAACAGTATTCTAGAACAGGCCGTATCTGCGCTTTGTATATCATGAGAAGCTGTTGAGGTGTAAAGTAGCTTTTCGCACGGAACAAGAATCCGAGTTTTTGTGAAGCAGCTTTTGCGATGGATCTGACATGATTATCCCATGAAAGAGTGTTGCTGATGGAAATACCGAGCATAGATATGGTGGGCTTGGTGGGGATGGTGGAGCCAGACATCACAATATCGGGCATACTGAGTTCCGCCTTTCTAGAGAAAATGCAGGCTTGAGTTTTGGTGGCGTTGAATTCCACTAGGTTGTTTGTTCCCCAGGCTGTGATTTCAGCAAGATCTTCATTGACAGCATTGACCTGCCTGCGCCGTGAGTTCTTAGTTTCCTGGGAAGAAATGGGAATTCTGGAAGAGAACGCAGTATGGAGGGTACTATCATCTGCAAAGCTGTGGATTGGGCAAGTTGTTACTCCCAACAGATCATTAATATGAAGCAGGAATAATGTTGGTGCCAAAATTGATCCTTGTGGAACGCCGGAATTGATGCCAAAGGTATCAGACGATACACCGTCCACCACCACGTGAAGCGATCTGCCTGAAAGAAAACTCGATAAGAGATGGCATAGCTGAGGTGGTAAGCCGTATGATGGTAGTTTGTGGAGGAGTCCTTCGTGCCAAACACGGTCGAATGCTTTCGAAATGTCCAACGCGACAGCTAGAGATTCCCCGTGTTTTTCTATTGAAGATTGCCATAAATGGGTGACGTAGGCAAGTAGATCTCCAGTAGATCTTCGATGGCGAAAGCCGTATTGTCTATTGTGGCGTATGCACACTCCGTATGATATATCTATCATGTTAATCTAGGATGATGACTGATTGTCATATTATTATTATATATTATAAATATATTGAGATTTTCCATTGACCAGCTCCTTTTAATTCCAAACAAAACCCCTACAAATTGGTGACCCCGAGTAGCAGAACATCAAGCACTTATCAAGAAAAGAAATCCATCGCATTCAAAAAGGAGACAAAAACTTTTCAAGCAAGAAGAACTTATTCAAACGGATACCTATTGCTCCTTTGAACCTGAGTTGGACCCTACAATCAATCAAACCAGGAAGGATAGCCATTTTTATCAGTTCGAACGATTACAACAAACTGTAAGCTGGTTGGTTCAAGAGAACTTCAACTGAAACTTCCATCAACGAGAGTGGAGGCAAGAGAATAGAAGAAAAACTCATACTAATTTAAATTTTTTGATTCTCCGAGTAAGTCGTATATCCCGCAAGCAACTTTTCCGCCAAATTTGTCATTATCTATCCGGAATACCAAATCTACCAATATCTCATAATATAATAATGATGTCAGTTGATATTGATAATGAAATTGCTGCTTCAGTCAAACTTCCACCATTTTGGCCATCTAAACCTGAAATATGGTTCCATCAGGTCGAGTCTCAATTTGCTATAGCTCGAATTACTGTTGATCGCACCAAATATAATTATCTCATAGCTGCTTTACCACTAGAAATTATATCGACTATGTTCGATATCATTGAAAATCCACCGACTGAAAAATTATACGAAAATCTAAAGAATAAAATCATACAACGACTCACAGCAAGTGAAGAAACTAGATTAGATTCACTTCTATCACATTCCTATATTGGAGACAAAAAACCATCAGAATTTTACAGAGAAATGTTGAATTCAGTTGGTGGATCTTCCGTAGTTAGTAAACAGTTAATAATAAAATTGTGGGAAAGGAAATTACCTAAGACAATATTAGTTGCTTTAACTTCTTCAGGTAAAAAAGAAGTTGACGATATTCTGGACCTTGCTGATAAAATATGGGAAACATACCGTGGCCGAGATACATTTAATGAT